ATCTGTCTAGCCGGAAAGGTACCGTTCCGTAGCTACTCAAGTATTCAACCGTTTCGGCGAGGACACCGACTCGAAACTCCCAGTGAAACAGATCACCCTGCCGGATCTTAGCATCCCTCTGCAGCTCGGACGTCGTCAACCATTTTCACTGTTTATCCCAGCGCATCGAAAAATTGCTGCTCGATTAATCGACATTTTCATGGGTATGTACATTCTCCTACTTCCTCGTCTGTTTTCAATTTTATTCGATATTATTTTGTCAAAGCAAGACACCTTACAAAAGCATCACGATAACGAACGAATTCTACAACGTCACTTTTGATAAATTAGAAAATCTACACTAAATAGGAACACAAATTTCTTACAGTGAAAAGTTTCGAATGAGCTGCTTTCATTTTTCCGCGAGCGTTCGAACATTTAACAGAGGAAAGTTTTAAAAATTTTCTAATTGCTTTCTGATATTGTCAGGGTCTTTCTTAACGTTACGTTTGACGTTACAGGTATGCGGACGTACGAGGACTTCCTGTCCATCGCTGTCTACTGTCGAGACCGTGTGAACCCGAACATGTTCATTTACGCATTATCCGTGGCGATACTTCATCGTCCCGACACGAAAGATCTTCCAATACCACCACTGACCGAGGTGTTCCCAGACAAATACGTGGACAGCGGGATATTCTCTAGGGCTCGAGAGGAAGCCAACGTCGTCCCTGAAGGTTCCAGGGTATGTAAAATGACTTGTAACTTGCAAATTCGTGAAATGACTTGTGCAAAAGGGATTCTCATTCTTTCGAAGATCGACAAAGAATATTACACATCGATTTTATTCCTCGTTGCGTGTTTTGTCTTTCAAGTTCAAAAAATCAGAAAGTGGATTTCTTAGGAAGAAGAAAGTAGAATTAATCTGTATTTCGTGTTTAACTATTTCGTAACTAGAAAATTTTATTCTAGACCATATTTTTCTCTTTTTTTTTTCGATCGAGTATTCTTTTAAATTACGTGTATTCCTCGTTACATGTTTTATCCTTCACGTTCAGAAAATCAAAGAATATTGCAGATTTCTTAAG